GCCTCTCAGTGTCGCATGATCCCACTCTGCGCTGGCTTTAGCTCCTGTCTTTTTCCGGTGGGCTAACAGATGGCTGTAACCAGTTAACGCAATAGTGGAAGAGCAGTGCTCAGAGTCGGCAGTGGGGAATGTCAGAAGGGTTTTTTATGGGGCTATTGTGTAAATGATGGTGAGTGTTTCAAATTTTATTGAGGAGAGAGCAGCAACAAGGCCACTGCAGCCATTTGTATGACTCTTCATTGACTGCCTATGAAGCTTAAAGTTTGATTACTTTAGGATTGCATGCAATTTGAATAAGTGCAATTTTTAATCTGCCACAGAAATTCCTGCAACAACAGAAAGAAAATCAGCTAAAAATAGGGAATGAGTTATTCAAAAGAGAAATGTAAAAATAAATAAGGAACCAGCTTTACTGCTTAGAAAGAGAGTTGGAAATTATTTAAATTGAGTATATTAGATTATTTCCAAAAACCAACCCGTGGGCTTTCAATTCATTTATGAAAGTCGGTTATTTACTTTCATTCATCAAGGTATTTAGAAGAGATTTCGGCAGTGGCTGTCAGTTAATAAGTCATCATTTTGTGACTTTTATAATAGAAAAGGATCAACTAAACAGTTTAACACCATTAGATGAACAGGGTTTTTCCTGGCTCAAATTGAGGCAGAGGTGCTACCATCCTGACCATGCGCCAGCACATGCATACTCTGCATTAAACTGCCTCACTTTTTTAAAGGCAAAGTATTATAAAAGGCTCAATAATATGCATTAGATTGGTGTTTAGTTACCTTTTTCCCATCTGATATTTATAGTTAAAAATATTTTTAAATATTTGACCTACATTTTAATAACATTTTAGGTTTGTATTAATAACATCTTAGTCAAAATAACACATAAATATATCCAGTAAAATATAATGCATTTCATTAACATGTATTTGTATTGGAAATGGTAATAACATTGAATTTCTGCTGCTAATAATGTAATGGTGACATGTCTATTATGTACAGTTTAGGGTTAGGGGGGTATTCATTATTTAAAAAATGAAAGTGACGGGGATAAATGTATCACATGACCTCTGGCAGCGAGCAAATGCTGCCTCCTCAGAGTGCTTCCAAACGCAGCAGCGATTCATTCCATCCCCTACTTAGAAAAGAAAGAACCCAGAAGTTTTTGTTCAGAAAGAAACATTTTACTTACGAGTCTTCTTTTTAACACTTTAACTGTGTTCATTACGGGCCGTTTATACGTCACTCTACCACTAGGCCACTGAGAAGGTATTAATAATGTTGAAATTGTCAGTAAAAGTTCAGAAAGTTGATGCACAAAAAAGCCACACAGAGATTTAATCTATAGTTATGCGAAGGTCAGCACATGCTGGTGAATTGATATTTTCAGAATCCCACAATCAGCTCCAAACCATCATTGTTCTATAAGCTGGAACATACTGCCATATGAGTTTCTTTAAATAAGCATGTGGCGAGACAAGCAGTCAGATATGATTGACTGTCATGGATGAAAACATCCAGGAAGCATGGCCTCCAGCTGCAGCTGAATCATAGCTGAAGATTTTGAAGCCTGCCCCAGATGTTCCAGTATGAAACAGATTTTTTATGCAATCAGTCTTAATTTTTGCTGGCTGTAAGTGAGAAGTCATCAAAGCACCTCAGAGGCTTCTTCTGTGGCTGGGTGGTGATCCTGATATGAATATGATTAGGGCTGAAACGATTCCTCGAGTACCTCGAATAATTCGAGTACAAAAAATCCTCGAGTCAAATTCTCTGCCTCGAGGCTTCGTTTAATTCATGTTTAATTAATTCATGCCTTTGCAATCACCCGGGGTCATGTTTCACCCGGACCAAAATAAGTGACGCACATACACACTGCACTGAATGCACACGCAAGTAGCGAACGTAACTTAACTTTCTCTTAAGCCATGGCGGACAACGTGGACCCCGGTGGAGTGCGAAAAAGACAGAAAATGTCAAAGGTGTGGGACCATTTTTCACGTCGTAAGGCGGAAAACGTAGTCCAGTTTAAAAACTGTAAAATGGATTTAGCCTACCACAACACCACATCCTCCAAGCTGCAGCACCTGACCAGGAAACATCCACATGTAAACGTCACTTCTGCAAGCGGACTCGGAGCCTCTACAAGATAATGCATTTTAGCCTGTATTTCTATATATTCTGCAGACACTGTGCGACTTTTTCGTTTGTAGCACTCAGTTTCAGCTCACACCGTACGTCTGGTAGCAACACGTCGGTCTTAAAATGTGCTAAAAATAGCAGTTTTTACAACACGTCGGACTTTTTACTGTGTTGTTGATGTCCGTTGTCCCTCGGGATTGCTGCAGGAGGACACAGGTATTTATGAGAGTGACGGAGGAAAACGAAAGTAAGTAAATGTGTGATCAGTATAATTTGACATAACCACGGCAAACATGCTTTCTCGACAATCCTTGTTAATGTGAGGGAAAAAAAGTGTAGAAATTAAAACGGACGTGTGTTAATAGGGAAACAGCTGGCGAGCTATGTTTGCGCATGCGCCCTGAGCGGTTCTGGTTCTGTTTGGGCCGCAGCCGCTCGCATTTGTTTACTGTGAAGTAAAGTTGAAGCGCTGAAGTTTTGAAAACTAATTTTGAATAAAACTTGAAGAATAACTGGCAATTGCGTGCTCATTTTAAGAGGTCTTTCATATTTTATAACATGCTATTTGATATAATGGTTTACAAACACAAAAGGGTAATTTATTAGAGTACTCGATTCATCGATAAAATATTCGATAGAGTACTCAATTACAAAAATATTTGATAGCTGCAGCCCTAAATATGATATTTCTGCTGCAGCACCTGGAGGTGTTCTGAATCAGCTTTCCATCAGAACACCCGCAAGGTCACAGTTAGAGATAATGCCAGTGTTCTGGGCATTTAAATTATCGTGGTAACATGAAAAAAAAGTCATGCATTTATAGCACACACCAACAATGATAAAAAGAGCACAAGTTGTTCTGTTTTGTTAACCAAATAAATGTGACATTGTTTCAAGGATATTAAAAGAGAGAACTCCAAAAATAATAAGTCTGGTCATGCTTATAACCTCGTTTGCTTGGTGTTTTATCAGCCATTGTCTAGTTTTCTAGTTTTTTTGTAAAGTTTGCTAATTCTGCAAAAAGAATGTGATAGTATTGAACTTCTCCTGCCTGTTGGCCAATGAGCTGTGCTTAACACAAGCTGTGGTTGATAAAGATAGAAATTACTCTTGATCTCATAATCTCCAGAGCCAGGAATAACTGCAGAGTAGCGTCTGTGATGTGTTTATTTCTGCTGGTATGGAATCCGACGGAGAGTAAGAGGGACCCGTCCTCACTGTTGAATCGGTACTGGATAGATGCTGTGGATTCCTGACAAGCTGTTTGATTATTAGACTCAGAGACTGCCTTTCAACATTCATCCAGGACCAAACCTTAGTCATAACGAAACTCAATTTCTGTAATTGCTTTGAAACAAAATTTGAAGTGGCCGTGGTAACAAGGAGCCTAAGTCACGCCCATCTACTTCTGGACCAATGGTCCCCAACTGCCCAAAAAAATGAATGGGAGCCTATGAGAGGATAAAAGTTATTTTCTGATCCTAATCCCAGAAGGAATTCTGCAGGGATGTCATATATGCGATGTCTGATCTGTAGTCATTTTAATGATGAATTTTTACAAGCAAATAAATCTGTAATCTGTAAATCACCCAGGAATTTCAAGATCCCGTGTGATTTGGCCAGTTCACATGTCAAACAAGGAGAAAGACGGCAACACATATCCAAAAAGCTCACTGTTTCTTTTTTCACAACTGGAAATGTGCATGTGACTTTTATTTTGAAAGCTGCCAGCTATTTCCCAATTTTTCTATGTTTAACTTCCTTTCTGGCTCAGTCTGAATTGCAGACTGTGACAATTTTTGGTTGCATAGCATGTGGAAAGTAGACTCAATTATAAATTTAGCAGTGCAACGCAACACTATGCCTCTGAGACATGTCCAAAAACACGATGCTTAGTGGCCAGTGGAAATCCATCCATCCACTGTAATGGTGACTAATTGCTGCTACATATTACACTTTGCAAATGTTACGCAATGCTTATGCGTCCGGTGGAAAGGCCGGGTTATAGTCAAAGGCACAGTGAAGCATTTTGTCATGGTGCTCTGCTAAATTTACGCCCAAGTTTTATACACCCCACGCTTCCAGAACACATTCACCCAGTTAGTTCAGATCAGGCCTGAAAGGAAATCAGACAGGTGAGCTGAGTAAAACATCTGGCAAACTTCAAAATAAAAGTGCAGATTTCCCATCGCTTAACTGAAATAAATGTGGCAAGGTGGATAAACGAGGGCCCGGGCGGGATTCGATCCCCAGACTCCCGGGTGAGAGTCATGCACTCTAACCAGTCAGCCAAAGGGACATCCCCTTGGCGAAGTAGCCAGGGCGCATTATCTATCGGGACACTGACAGGACGCTCACACTGTCACATAAAGAAAATATGTCTCTACCTGTGACACCTCCAATGAATCACGTGTGTCAACAACACATCATGAATATAGTTTATTCTTACACTTTCATCAAATATGAGTTCAGAGCATGCGTGCGTGTAACGTCATATCTACGATGGGTGCTGTATGTCAGATTCCTCAGCGGCCTAGTTCGGAAGGTTGCTGTGTAGAGAATGTGAGGTCCTTTCCTGTAAATGACATTAGTAATTGGTTGTAATGTGACGAGTCACACAGACAGGAAGCTATCTGGGGAATGTGTTGTTGAGGCTGATGTTCACAGGAGGGAGTCTAAAGTGACACCTACTAATTTCCCAGAAGTCCTGACTGACACCATCTTCACCATTCGTTCCACTAAAAACTGCAGCAGACATCATTGCAGCTGATGTTTCATCATTGCTGAAGCTCTGCATGAAACTGGGTGGTGATTGCTTTAACTTATATGCATTTTTTTTTCTTTTCTTCCAGAGATTGATCAGGACAGAGGAAGTCAAGACGTACCAAACATTTTTGTTTCCTGAGTCTTGACGGTCTTCCACCACTGCTCACTCTTTCTTAGGAGATTGGAGGAGGGCGACTTGTGCACCATGAATGTTACATCGCTCTTCTCCTTCACTAGCCCTGCAGTCAAGCGTCTGCTGGGTTGGAAGCAGGGGGACGAGGAGGAGAAATGGGCAGAAAAAGCTGTGGATGCACTGGTTAAGAAACTGAAAAAGAAGAAGGGAGCCATGGAGGAGCTGGAGAGGGCTCTCAGCTGTCCGGGTCAGCCCAGTAACTGCGTGACCATCCCTCGCTCGCTGGATGGACGGCTCCAGGTGTCCCATAGGAAGGGTCTGCCACATGTCATTTACTGTCGGGTGTGGCGCTGGCCTGACCTGCAGTCCCACCACGAGCTGAAGGCGCTGGAATGCTGCGAGTACCCCTTCGGCTCCAAACAGAAGGATGTGTGCATCAACCCCTACCACTACAAACGGGTCGATAGTCCAGGTGAGGCCTCATGTTTTGTGGCATAACATCAGATTTTCTGATTTTGAAGAAAATATTGATTGCTTTGGTACATACAAGTAGACTGGGTGGAGATATTACTTCAGTTAAAATGGTTTAAAAAGTTTATTCCATTATACATTTTTTCCAACAAAGCAAAACAAAATACTTTTTAAAATGTTTTAGTTTTCTGAGGCTTTACCAAATGGTTGGGAGGCTCAAGCCAGCAAATTTTCTCCACAACTGAACAAACTTTCCAGCCGTCGGGATGTTGGTTCACTGCTGACACGTTCCAGCACCATGTTCAGTGACAAATTGTACAGGATAAGGACTAATTTCTACTAATAAGTTTATTTTACAACAGTATTTACCGGTAGAACATCTTGTGGGCTCAGAATCAGCTGCTTCACTTGCCGAGCAGACTTTTTATCGCAACGGTGCCCTCTAGTGGCTGTAAACGTAAACCCTGTGTGCCCGGCTGAATAAATTTTTTTTAATTTATTTTAATATAGCTTTTAAAGGAGAAAATGCACATCCGTTCTGCACACCTCTAAACACCCCATGGATGTATTATTTTTTTTAGAAATATAGCTTTTTATTAAAATGTTCCATATTCTAACTTTAAGATGCACCTCATGTAAATAAATAGTTATAAACTCTTGTTTGAACAAGAACAAGCAGCAGGCTTGGTTTTGACATGATTTTCTTAACTCATTCACTGCCTGATCACTAACTGCCAGCGTTTCTCACCGTTTTTACAGTCTTTTTAAGAGTCGCAGAACGTTGTGCGCTAGCATGATATCAATGCCAAAACAACCAAAACAAAGAGGAGACTCACCTCTTACATCAGGAAGAAGCCGTGTGTTTTGAGCGTTATCCGTTCTTTCATAATCCGTTGTCGAATTGTGATCGGCAGACGCTTTTCCGGTTCGCGCCTCACTTTTTTTACAGGAACGGCCCAAAACGATCTCCAAACACATGGATGTGTTGCTTCCTGATCATGTGATCTGTGACGTATGTGGATGAAGATCGGCTTCAGGGTTTAGATGTTTGTTCTATCAGCGCGGGGGCTCGTTCAAACAGTAAAAAAATGCAAATGACGACTTTAGTCGTCATTGGCAGTGAACGGTTGGATCTAAAATGACGACTTTAGTCGTCATTGGCAGTGAATGAGTTAATCTGGACTCCAGGAGTTCTGACAGCATCGGCTCTGCAGAAGACAGGTAAACAAATCACCACACAGTGAGGGTCAGCTGACAACTGAAACAACTGTGCTAAATTAGTAAAGGTGTGTGTGTGTGTGTGTGTGTGTGTGTGTGTGTGTGTGTGTGTGTGTGTGTGTGTGTGTGTGTGTGTGTGTGTGTGTGTGTGAGGAGATTCCATTTGTGGGAGAACTGGGGCTTTGTTTTAGGCATGCCCTGTATTGTAGGCCCTATTTTTTTTGTGCACACGTGTTTTCACACACTTGACTGTGAGTTTCTCTTGGGGACGCTGAAACAGGAAGACGCTCACTCACACACAATGAGAGGAAAGACTTGTTGCCTGCCTTGCACACTTTTTGTTTTAGCAAGGCACAGGGCTGAGGTGATTTAACCCAGCACCACCTGTTTGCTCACAATTTCCCTTCCACACACGCACACACATCCTGTCAATCTCCCCTCACTATTCTCCATAACACCCCAGCTGTCCGCCTGCTCCACTTTTAACCTCTGTAATAAATTTCTACACTGATGTATCGGCCTGTTGCAGCACACGCAGACCACCTTCAGGACAGCAGAGCTAGCCTCATCTAAAATTTCAGCACCAGCTTTATTTATCTGCACAGGTATTTATAGGCACAAGTGGAGCACATCACTGTGGTTTCTGCTGCACCTGAATAGCCCACAGCCATGATTTTTACCCCAAGTGATGAATTCCACTGGAAAGGCTGGTCTCATAACGCCTCTTAGTGCAGAAACTCGAGAGTCAGAGCCAAATAATGCTGGCTAAGACTGGCTGTCTGGAAGCTGACGTTAGAAAAATGCAGCGACATCTGTTCTCAGAATGTTAAAATCATAAAGTGTGCCAGAAAGTGGTTTGTTTAACCTGAATATTCAATTTTCATCTACCATTGCATATATACAGTCGCTCCAGCTGTCCGGGATCACAGAAATAGATTAGGTCTTCAATTCTTCTTCAATCCCAAGAAGAATAAATGTGTTCAGTGACTGACAGAACATGTAGGTAATAACTCAGTCACAAACTAACTGGATTCGTGTTGGTGTGTGAGAGAACTATAGTGGTGTGTTTGTGTGAAATAAAGGTGGAAATCTTTAGACTGCTCAGGTTTTGATTTAATTACGATTCAGAGGGTTTTGATACAATTATAGAACAATTATCCATGCATCTGTAAAAGGCACAGTATGGATGAATTTTACACTGGAATAATCACAACACAGTCTGTCTCCATCATGTTGGAAGGAATGCTACATTATAACAGATTTCCTCCTCAGCCAGCTGAAAGTTGTCAGTTTTTCTTCTTTCAAAAAAGCTAAAGAGGGACGCAGTCTTTGTTTACAGTCTGTGAACTCACGGGGTTGCCGAGTCGGTGCTGCAGCGCCAGAATTTTTAGTCCGACACCAGAATTTTCCTGAAGAAAAATACATTTTAACTCCTGACTGCCAACATTGGCTGATTCGTAGTGTATATTCTTATTAGAACTGAAACAATTCATTTGATTCTGAACTAGTAAACAGCTGGGTTTGTGCATGATTATCCCAATACTAGAGCATTGTGTGGATCATTCAATTTAATACTTGATAGTCCTAATTCTCCAGACCTGCCAACCTGTACGCAGTTTGGCATCTATTTAAGCTGGTACGACTCACCCCTCTAAACTACGCAAAAAGCTGCGGTTACACGAGTTGAGTTCTGTGGCAAATATGCACATGTGGTACTCATGACTGACAACACGACTCAGAGGCGTGGTGAAGAAGTTTAAGCCAATCATCATAGAAAAGCAGAGAAAAACTATCCTGCCTAACCTATAGCGTAACGCCCCCGCCCCCCTTCCCCCTGCTTCATCCTGCCCGCTGCTCCTCTCTCCGGTTCGCCACTCGCTGCTGTTCTGGTAAGGTAAACTCTTTGTGTGTGTGTGTGTGTGTGTGTGTGTGTGTGTGTGTGTGTGTGTGTGTACGCGTGTGTGTGTGTGTGTGTGTCAGCGAGCCGGACCGGACATCTTTTGGTGAACGCGGAACGTTACTTTCACTGTTCAATGTTCAAGCCGAAATCTGAGTGAAAAATATTTAAAATCTGCGACTAAAGAGAAAGAGGCAAGCTGTGTGTGTGTGTGTGTGTGTGTGTGCGTGCGTGCGTGCGTGCGTGTGCGTGTAAAGTTTTCCATCCAGTGAATGGGGCGATTGCAGTGAGAAAAGCAATGGAGTTGCAAAGGTCCGCGACAAAATGCAGCACAAGTGGTACTCAAAAACTTTTGACTAGGTTGGCAGGTCTGATTCTCTTATCACTAGTCAGACAGAGAAAAATAACCTCCTATGGAAGAAAATAATAAAATTCACAGCTTTCATTCTTTTAACATGGTTTGATGTAGAGGCCGACCCATGTGGGTTTTTTTAAGGCCGATGCTGATACACATTTTAGCAGCACATTTATTGTGAAAGACAACTGAACACTCACTGTGTGCAATATAAATTAAAGAAGTCAATAAATCTGTTAATATTTATTGAATTTCAAATATAAAACAAACTCAAAACATAAAAAAAAACACAAGTGCTTGATTTATTTTTATCGGCTTAAAAAATAATTTCGACTGATGGACGATAAAGAAAAACTTGAATAAATCGGTTGGCCTCGAGTTTGATGTCTACATGATATAGAATATTTGTTTTTTATTCAAACACCATCACACTTGGTTATTATTATTATTAATATTATTATTATTATTATTCCCCTAGTGTTACCTCCCGTTTTGGTGCCAAGGAACAGTGAGTTCAATCCCAAGATTTCCATGCTGCCTCGGTTCCGCAACCCTCTACAGCAGAACGAGCCACACATGCCCCAGAATGCCACCTTCCCAGAGTCTTTCGCTCTGGCAAACACTGTACCTTTCCCACATTCACCGGGAAATGGCTTTCCTAACTCACCAGGAAGTGGCAGCAGCGTCACTTTCCCACATTCGCCATCCAGCTCTGACCCTGGCAGTCCATTCCAGATGCCGGGTAAGATGAAGCAAATCTGTGTCGTTTTTTGTTTCCTCTGCACTGAACCACAGAAACTTACTTTGCTTATATTTGCATCCTTTCTGATGCAGAGACCCCCCCTCCTGCCTACATGCCCCCAGAGGAGCAGATGACTCAGGATTGCCCTCAGCCTATGGACACCAACCTCTTAGCACCACCCTTGCCTCTTGAGAACAACAACCGGGCAGGTAACTGTGGCTGTTTTGATCTCTCCTACACACACGCACACACACATTCTTGTGTTGCCAGCATTGGCTTGCCTTGATGTGCAGCTGCAAAGGAAGCCTGCATAGATGGATACAGTGTGTTTGGCAGACAAAACATTGGAATGCTAGTTTAAAGGGAAGCATTGTCTTTGGTGGGAACCCTGAAGCCAAAGCAAATTTTGCCAGTTCTCAACGAACTTTTTCGTATTTTTAAATAAGGATGCTCAATATGTCAGCATCAATATCGGTATCAGAAGATGTTAGTCATTTTTTAACATATCGATATTGGTCCGACACATAAAACTGGGCCGATGTTAACAAGCAATATCTTTTCCATCTTATTTTTACATTTGTTTATCTGTTTCAGAGGGTGGGGGGGGGGGGGGGGGGGGGGGGGGGATTTGTTTAAGTCACGTGACAGTGATTGTAATCATCTCAGAATTGTAAATGTGTGTTGTGTGTGTGTACATAATAATGTAAATTCAGCTTTAATGATTTTCATTTCATGCAAAATCTACTGCTTTTAGAAGCATTAATGTCAGTATATCGGAATCTGCAAATATCGGTTATCGGCCATAACGGTGATATTAATATTGGTATTGGCCCAGCTATTTCATGTCGGTACATCCCTATTTTTAAATCATCCTCTTGAACCAGTATGTGCTAAAATGACCCTTTACAGGGTTAATGAAATGTTACTCAGACACTCACTGCCCTTTGTGGCCAGAATATCGCATTTGCAGCTTCAGCCTGGCGGGCTGCTCTGTTGGGACTTAAAGGAGCTGACATACCTGGCGCTGCAGTCTGGTTCCAGCACGTTTCCTGCATGTTTTAGATCAGGGATTCCCAAAGTGTGGTGCGCGAGCTGCCGCTAGGGGGTGCGCGAGGTGAAAAGTGTAATGGCTGCGGAGCTCAGAGAAGTCTGTCACCATTAGCGTAGCCAGAAACTCATTTGTGGGTGGGCCAAAGAAAAAGTAAGTGGGCCCAATAAATTTAATTGAAAACAAGTATATTTTCGCGCGTGTGTCCTCCACATGTGCCCTAGCTTCGTAATAATAATGCGTCGAGCTTCAGCGCTCTGGCCTGCGCACGCCGATATGTTCCGTATTTGATCATTTTTAACGGTGTTGGAGAAATCTAAAGGTGGAGAGTTATTCTGGCAGATTGTAATTAACACCTGTCTCATGCAGGTGTTCTGACATTGTAAACCTCACACACAGAACATTGTGGATGTAACAAAATAAATCAAGAAATGATTCCCATTCAGGCTATTAACAGCGCGCTGAAGATCTGAAGTTCAGAGTGCGTCTGTCAGAGGTCAGACGCGTTCCTGCGGAACCACGGCTCACGGGTGCACATGTGAGCACATCTGGGCTGGGCAGAAGTAATTTTACAACGTTGGTTTAAATAGCGCCGATAACGAGACGCGGTGACTTAACGCTGCAAGTTGTGAAGCGCGTTCCATCCGCGAGCCGCATCACCAAGCGGAAAGTGAATGCGTCAAGCATAAACCAAGCTTCATGGAGCTGTGCCGCGCGCGCACGCACACACACACACACAGAGAGAGATTCAATAAGCACATGCCGCACAAACTCCGGTGCGCCGTCAGACTGAAGGCAGAAATGAGCGCTGCCTCCACTGTGATAAAAACTTTTAAGAGATTTTATAACATTTTTAATTCAAGGCCAAATTAAGATATTAGCTTCTATTTTGGGATGACGTATTAAAGTCGGGTCCGCTCCAGCAGTGACTCCGAACCTGAACTCATGTTACTGCAGCATTTGTTATTCCAGTCAGCGTGGCAGCGGATCGCAGATTCATCCACACCATAAAACAGCAATAAGTCGGTCTGAGGCAAAAGTGAACCTCATGGCTATATCGTTTCCATATTTCCCCCTATAGACATTTGATTACGCACAAGTAGGTGATCAGTTCAGGTTTACGCAGAGCAGAAGGAAGGAGAGCGCTCTGGCCTCACAGGTTAAACATTCCTACTTTAAGAAAACCGTTAAATTGCATTGTTTATGTGCTACCTGGACACTAAATATTTATTTAAAATGAAATCAAAGGAAATTGTAATGGTATCAAATGTTTATTAATTACTATTTAAAAAATGAAAGTGATGGGGAAAAAGGTCGATCATATTTTTTTTATCCCTGTCTGTTTAGCTTGACGTCTGATATATATATATATATATATATATATATATATATATATATATATATATATATATATATATATATATATATATATATATATATATATATATATATATATATAGCCATGCCCTGATGTGGGGCTGGGGGGTGCGTCGACATGGTCGGGACATAGAAGGGGGTGCGCAGCTAAATAAGTTTGGGAACCACTGTTTTAGATCATGAACACAGCTGATTTGTATAATTTAGTGATGAACCGCTCCTTAGGAAGGCTGGGAGACATTTCAGCTGTTACATTAAGGTGTTGAAAAGATGAACGCACAGAGAGGGGAGAAGTTTTGGTTTTGATTTGATCACAGAGATTTGTTAATGGACATTGGTGGAGGAGTGGAGTTTAAGTATCTCGGGGTCTTGTTCACGAGTGAGGGTAGGAGGGATCGGGAGATCGACAGGCGGATTGGTTCGGCGTCTGCAGTAATGCGGACGCTGAGCCGATCTGTCGTGGGGAAGAGGGAGCTGAGCCAGAAAGCCAGGCTCTCGATTTACCGGTCGATCTACGTCCCAATCCTCACCTATGGTCATGAGCTTTGGGTAATGACCGAAAGAACGAGATCGCGGATACAAGCGGCCGAAATGAGTTTCCTCCGTAGGGTGGCCGAGCTCAGCCTTAGAGATAGGGTGAGGAGCTCGGACATTCGGGAGGGACTCGGAGTAGAACCGCTGCTCCTCCGGATCGAAAGGAGCCAGTTGAGGTGGTTTGGGCATCTGGTCAGGATGCCTCCTGGACGCCTCCCCGGGGAGGTGTTTCGGGCATGTCCTGCCGGCAGAAGGCCCCCGGGTCGACCCAGGACACGTTGGAGAGGTTACATCTCCAATCTGGTCCGGGAACGCCTTGGGGTCCTGCCGGAGGAGCTGGTGGAGGTGGCCGGGGAGAGGACGGCCTGGAGCTCCCTAGTTGGGATGCTGCCCCCGCGACCCGGACCCGGATAAGCGGAGGAAGACGACGACGACGACATTGGCGGTGCTAAAAGCATGCAAAACTGCCAAGTGTGCCTTTAATAAGGCCCGTAAAAATGGGAACTTATGTTATTTTTCTGGTGGCAGTGACATAACCCTGTTAATGATGACATTCACTTGTTAACTCCAGTCTAAAGTGAGGGGCAATAAAGGGTCCAATTTCAGCTTTGTGGTTCTACTTTTACAGTAAAGCAAACAACTGAGACCTGGTCCAGAGCTAAATGCCTTAGCATTTATAGTTTTTTACCCATGTCCCATTACTTACAATAAAATGTTGTGATCAAATTGAAGTATGGGCAATATATACAGTTTCCAAGGGATAGTCATCAGTCCAGCAAATGATGATGAGCAATATATTCACACAGTTAAGACATTTTGTGGGCACGCTGCACTCCATGTCCTCATCTTTACACATTTACATGTAAATTAACCCAAAAATTTGATACACGACTTTTGAATATCGATAAATAATTGGAAAAAATGTCACAATATATTGCCATATTGATATTTTCTTACATACATATAGATAAGCATATATCATTGGAATAACAAGAGTCCTAGTTTTATAATTAAGTATAATATGTATACGTACAAAGAATGTGTAGCAAAAAAAAAAGTAAAAAACACTGATTTGACCTGGACTAGTTAATAGACATAAGAAAAACTGGCGAAGGGGTTGACCTTTCAACAAATGTCTATAAATTTGTCCAATCGCCCAACCTAGATCAAATACCTACTAAAGTTAAGTTTCACAGAAAAAGATGCTTGGAAGCGAAAAAAATAAATTAAATAGGGTCAAAACTGTAAGAAATGTATTTACCCACAAACTTTCTCAACCATGATGCTCTCACAGGTTGTTTTCTTGTCCAGGATAGCAGTAGGAGGAAAAGCTGTTGAAAGTTTTGTTAGCTGGAAGTGGGAGTTTGAAGAGTTGTTTTTTTTTTTCCACAAGCTGCATCCTGTAAGGGGGAGCAGGTTTCTATTGTAGAGCAGCTCTGCGAGGGGGGGCAGACAAAACACACCTGCCAGCCAGTGCCACACAACACAGGAAGTTTGGGAGAGGTATTTGCCTAGATAAACATGATTTATCCGTCTCTCCAAAGGGGTGAGGCTGGATTGAAATAGTACAAGCTTGCACACAGCCCTCAGTCTAAAAATGCATTCAGATTTATTGATGTGAACCCAAATTTGCAGAAAAAGGTCAGTGAGTCTAAAATGTTTGGTGTTTAGCGAGACTGAACAAGTTAAATGTGGCTCCTTGCAGCTTGTGCTGTACATGCGGTGCACTCGGCTTGCTTGTTTGACCTGTTAATGTTTTTCCTGTGCAGATATGCAGCCTGTGGCCTATGAGGAGCCAAAACACTGGTGCTCTATTGTTTACTATGAGCTCAACAATCGTGTTGGTGAGGCGTTTCAGGCAACTTCCACCAGCGTGCTCGTCGATGGCTTCACAGATCCCTCCAACAACCGCAACCGATTCTGCCTTGGCCTGCTCTCCAACGTCAACCGCAACTCTACTATTGAGAACACCCGGCGGCACATCAGCAAAGGTAAGGTGTTTTTATAAATACAAAAAAAAAAGATTTGTCAACAACAATAATCCGCCAGTCATCAGTATATGAGTGAATTAATAATGCTCAGTGGTTGATTAAGATTTAGACTGGAACAAAACAACATCAAATTGGTTACATATATCAGTCTATTGATTTATGGTTAGCCACAGTGTTTCTGAGCGTTTGTGAAGTTTAATTTTAGAAAGGACAAATTTGCGAGTGTTATCACACTTCTCTTGTCTCGCAGGGGTCCACCTATACTATGTTGGAGGAGAGGTGTATGCGGAGTGTCTGAGCGACAGTAGCATCTTCGTCCAGAGCCGTAACTGTAACTACCATCACAGATTCCACCCCACAACGGTTTGCAAGATTCCCAGCAAATGTAGCCTGAAGATTTTCAACAACCAGGAGTTTGCTGAGTTGTTGGCCCAGTCTGTCAACAATGGCTTTGAAGCTGTTTATGAGCTCACCAAGATGTGCACCATCCGCATGAGCTTTGTCAAGGTAATCTGGTTTTATGAGAACACGGTACTGATACAGCAGTGTATTGTCGGTAATGAGAAGTGGCTTATTAGAGTTAGAGTTATTGGTAATCTGCTAAGGTGGGACAATTGCACAAATTTATCGCCCATCGGTGATAGTCCGCACAATTCGCCAGTCGTTTTTATGAGCAATTTTTTTTTCCATGCCTGTGAATAAGTCTTGCAGGTGGGACATCAAAAACTCCCATATGAAATCAGCATCTTTTTTTTTGCATCACTCCTGTGTGCACTTGTGTACTATATATTGTTAGAAAGCAAGGTCTAATGATATATGCCAATCAAGGACACAACCATAACTGTAGACACAGTACACAATTTTGTTAAATCACTCAGAAATTCTAAATAATGTTTAATTTACTGTTTTTACGCCTCGGATCGTTGACTATCTTTCAAATTTACCTTCTCAAGGGTCTGGTTAACATCCTCATATGACATAGTTAGCCCACAATAAGTATGATGTCCATCATCCAACATATAAAACCCTGAAAGAAAAAGTACTTTGGGTGCATATTTTTCTCATTATGACCTCCTTTAGCACCCACATTAGTATATACAGTCCAGTGTAATAAGGACTGTCCAGACCTTTACATAGGAGAAGCTAAACAACAACTACACATATGCATGGCACAACACAGGAGAGCCACCTCTTCAGGTCAAGACTCTGCAGTCCACTTACCCCTGAAGGACAAGGAACACACGTCTGAAGATGACAACGTACAAATTCTGGACAGAGAAGATAGATGGGTTGAGATAGGAGTAAAGGAGGCCATCTATGTCAAATGGAAAAAACCTATATAGGAGGAGACCTCAGGTTTCACCTTTCCAACAGCTTTGAATCTAATTCCCAAACAGATTCAGTCTATGTCACACCCTCCTCCATCTAATCAATACAACAACTCATATATTATGTATTCATAGGTAGTTTCAGCTTATTAAGCAACAAACGAGAGCTATTCCTGTCAGAATTGACAAAGCTCCTCGGATGAGAAGCGAAACATCTTCAAGGAACCAAAGAAGTACAGTTGCCTTTCTCTAACCCATTTGGATCTCCATATTAGCTTCACACTTTTTACATCTTCCCTGACTCACAGGAGGCTGGGGCAAAATTGCTATCTATTGGCTGATAGGTCAGAAGTGCTGCCCCATATTTTTCACGTATCCCTGTAACTAAATGTGATGCATTATGTTGTTGATTGGCACATAATACAGCCAATGACATTTGTACAACAACGAAATCTCAGGTGGGCCTCTTCCTCGTGGTTGGCTTTGGCAAACTGTGTAAGAATGTTTCTAATTGTTGCATTGCTGTGTGCAGTGTATGTGTCAAGCCCACAAAACTTTTAAATGTCATGCACAAATATCGCTCATCGTCATTTTTTGGACTGACGAATATCGCTTGGAAAATTTTTATATATGACCCAATTTTAGTATCTACTAAAAAACCACCTAACTGTCCCATTTATTGTTGTTCTATGCAACAATTATATGTTTAACTGTGTTCTAGGGCTGGGGAGCAGAGTACCATCGTCAGGATGTGACCAGCACACCCTGCTGGATTGAGATCCACCTCCATGGTCCGCTCCAGTGGTTGGATAAAGTCCTGACCCAGATGGGCTCCCCCCCAGATGCTATATCATCCGTCTCCTAGGCTTCACTGACCCCAGGCCTCCAGCCCTGTGGCTGTCAGTACCCCAGCATTTTGATCCAAGAGGCAGGAATAGCAGCTAGCTGGTCCTGGACCAGTTTGTGTTTTAGTTGTTTGTCCACAACTGGTTAATTTTTGACTGAAACATGAACTGACCTGGGACCTGCAGGATTACGTGGGTTGTATTGTGGGTATTTCTACTTGAAGGACATCTGAAATGGGCACATTCACAGACTGGGAATGGAGTAAGCAAAGGGAGCGTGATGCATCTGAAAGATACTTGATCTTTGTGACCAACTGTATTAATTAGACCATCTCACACACAAGTATCCTCTCATTACGTGCTCCTACAAGTTCATGTTTGTTTCTTTTTATTGTATTGTTCCAATATTCTGACTCATACCTAATTTGTCTCTCAATATTCCTTTAGATATCCAGTTGTAATTGTAATGGGACATTCCAAGGTCATCATAAATTGCAGTTTGCTCATGTTTTCTGTTTGAATAAAGAAATATTGGCATAAATTGTACATAATGAATGTGCAGTGTTAGTAGGGATTTGGAGATTGACCAGTGTTAAATATATATTTAGGATATTTACAGAAAATGAAAAAGTAGGCTTGTTATTTTAGGTAAATAAATGAAACACATTCAGTGTAATCCCTAATCTTATGTAGTAATGCACGGTTTAACCGGTATACGTTTGATATGATATCAATTTACCAACCATGATTGTGCATGACTGTCATCAAAATGCAGCAGCAGCTGCTGCTGTAGCAGTTGCGTGGATTAAGACGTGCTCGTAAGGAAGATGGGGTAACAGCAATTATACGATTCTGGTTTGGGGTGAATGACTCAGATGTTGAGCAGAAAATCAACATCTGAGTCAACATCTGCGGTAATAGCTCGTCAAGGCTAATTACCTTAAATGTTCGTTTTTTAAAACACCGTGAACCCAAAGTTTTCCAAACTGTTTGGACATCTCCTGTGACTTAGTTTGAACAAATTTCCCTCTGCGGTTTCATCTGTTTCTCACATTTAGTAAAAAGGTCTATTCTGAAAGCAGCTCCTCCTGCCACTGTGCTGCCGGTGCGCACCGCCATGGACCAGACCTGCGGGTCAGCTAATCTGAATGCTGGTCTGAGCTCAGCTCAACAAAAGTAAAAGAAATTGGATAAGCCCTCGAACCTTATTTTATTGTTGTTGATAATAAAATGCAGCAAAGCATCATTTTACCTGCTGTTTTCAGTGAAGCAGCGCTCAACTTCTATGAGGAAAAGGAAAAACATGAAAAATGAACAAATTAAATCAGGAAAACAGGAAGAAATGTAATTCCTGTTTTACATTTTTCATCTCAGTTCAAACAATTAAGAGTTGTGTTTCCATCACATTTAGCTTTTATTTTATTTAAAATATCTTCATCTTTAATAATATTAGAAGAATTTTTGTGTTGCATTATTTGAAAAAGAATCCTAACACAACATAAAAATGATGAGATGCTTTGTATTTTTTTTAAATAAGTTTTGAAAATTTAGTATTCTTTAAATGGTATTGTGTACTATTTAGAAGATTTGTTCTGCTACAATTCATCTGAGAATATTCAAAAACAGTCATTTTGACAGGTATAAACAGAAGAAAATAATATACCACGATATATATCGTTACCACAAAGGCTTCCGAAAATATCGCAATATAAATTTCCGGTCGTAACGCCCATTCCTAATCTGACACGAGCAAAAAAAAAGGTTTTTCAATGGTAAAGCTTAGGGTTTAGGGGCACGGGATTAAAAAGGCATTTCATACATAAAAGAATTATCTTTCTCATCATGTTACACTTTAGTCTCTTATTAATTGAATAATGATTGAATTGTCTTTACTAGCTATGTTCACTATTAGAACATGTGCTGTGCTGTCTGGTTTTGCAAAGCGTAGTGTGGTTAGTGTAGCATTACGCCTAAAAGACCGGTAGCTGAACATGGGTGAGACTGAAGAAAACACGTCCCAACACCAGGACTGGAAATACGCCATCTTTCAAAAGTTTTAGAATAAGACCTTGTTTCTGGTTTAAAACTAAATTCCACCTCTGTTTTTGGGAATAAAAAACAAGGTCTTGCTGAATAATCAAAGGCTCCTCTCCAGCTCAAGCAAATCAGTCATTACTGATTGATGCAATGGATGTACCAGCATGATAATAAGTATCGATATTAGATTTAATGCAACAGACAGACCTGCTCAGCATTATGCTTGTATAAGTTATGAAATTAGTTTATACTAATGTTTTGAACTCCTACTTTGAAGTTTGGAGTTTTCTGCACTCTGAAGCGAACAGTCTGGAATTTGTCCTGACACTGTCGAAGCAGTTCAAAAATGTTGCACCTTTTTCTTTACTTCAACCCATCTGTCTCCTTCAAGAGTTCTGAGTATATTTTCTTTCTTTATTTTATTATTAGTATTTTTTTTTCCCCAGTTTTAGCTTATTGTACTGTTATTTTCCAATGTTTTCTGTCACTATCTTGCTGGAGGAAAAGCAATTGTGCAAACTAGCTGTTGTTTAACTTTCTATTTTCATTCACCCTTAATTTATCTCCATCATAATAATAAACATAATTATTTCCTGCTGTATTGTCCTGCTTCTAAAGCAGGTTTTTTTTCATAAATGTTCATTTTTACCAATTTATTGATTAACAAATGGCCAGTATGTTTACAAAAGTGACTTCCATTTTTATTTTTTCTGCCCTTGTTTTGTTTTCATTTCATAAACTTTAGGCTTTTCTGTTTACCACTGAATTATTCAAGGACATAATGGACCTTAACAGCTTAAATTGTCAAAAAAAACTTTTCAAAGTTTATTTTTCTTAAACTTTTGAAAGGTTGTGCAAATATTTCAATTACTCTCATTCTGTTAAGAGTAACTTGGACGAATGAATTTTAAGGGAAAATGTCTGTGTTAAGATTTTAATTGTTGACTGATAAATGGGTGTTCAGTAGTGAATTTTAGAAATTTTGTATTATTGTTAAATCTCTCTTGTTTAATTCCTTTGTGCTAGTAAATTGCTACAATCGAAAGATTCTGCTTTGTATTTTTAATTATGCAATTTGGTTTGTCTGCACTTTCACATTTATTTTTGGCTCAGTAAAACTCCCGGAAAAGCTGTTCTATTCCATGAATATCAAGTCTCTACTGGAAAAAAATGAATGCAATTGTTTAAATGATGGCTGGATGCGTTTTGTCTTTGTCTATACACAATTTCACTTATAACATAATACTATTTGTGTCATGCAGGGACTTTCAACAATCTCACCTGCTGTAATCGTTTAAAATTCACTTGATTTTTAAAATACATTTCCTGTGGTCTCTAGTATGAATATATGCTTTGTGCGTGGCAAAAAGCTCTGATGCTTGCTTCAGGTAGAAGTTAGTCTGAGGAGAGGGGAGCTGAAGGTGGCAGGATAGGAAGACTAATGGGGGTTTTCCAACTTCACTAAGCGTGATTTGGATGGGTGAAGTTCCGTTTGACAGCCTTTTCCAACAGCACCATTTGGTATTTCCCCCCAGCCTTCCAGTACCTGCTTTCCTAGCATGATGACCCGGTCCATAAATGTGACATCAGCAACTGTTTGTCACTGATTGGCTTGGGGGTGGACTCGATGGTTGTTCTGAAGCTCTCTGCCTGCTGCTGTTTTTGGGTCGAGAGTCTGACAAAAAGCCAGAGACTGAACAGAATGTTTAACCCCCACCGTTGTTGTGCTGAGTTGTGTTTTGTGAGACATACATCGACGTATAAAAAGGATGGACATACCCCGCCCATTGCTCTGTGGGAGGCAGGTTTGAAGCCAAATGGGAAGTTCCCACCACTGATATTTTGGCCGTGTCACAGATCTCGTCACTCCCAGACAATCCCAAAAGGAAAAAGAGCTGGAGCTGAGGGTGGGGCTGTTACGGTTCGAACAGGGTTAGAACAAACCAGTGTAGCTACTAGTTAGCTAACCCAAGAAGCTAAGGAGCTCCAGGTTAGCCAAACTATGTGGCCGTTTGGCTTCTGTGCGAGGCTGTAGTCATGCTGGTCACTGAAGCTATACTATGGACTTTTAAAATACAAGCAGAGCCTCAGACCGCTGCGATCGGAGCCGTCACCCTGGCCACTTACGTGAGGTCATGCTCCTCCTCAGTCGGAGTGGGTCAGAGTTTAGCGGGAGCTACATGCTATATCAAGCAAACTGAGGTTTTTTTGGGGTGTTTCTAGTGAGAGAAACAAGGTAGAGTGACACCAAAATCAACTCAAAGAGCAGCAGTGCTTCCGTAAACTCCCTCAGAGAGTTCCTTAGAGGAACAGCACAACTAAAACCTAGCATGGAAGCCAAGCCATGAGTGGTGCGTCTCGTACCCCTCGGAAGACGGGCGCCAAAATGTGTCTTTAAAATTCACAGACATCATATGTTGAATCAATGGCACATACAAAATGGGATAGGAAAATAACTTATTGGTTTGTGGACTCTGATTTCTCTTTTTTGACATTAGGGGACCCATGGACAGGAAGTAGATGGACGTGACTTAAGCTCCCTATTTGGAGTTTTACTTCCTGATGTTAAGACATCTCGACTCAGTAAAGCGACTCTATCACTGACTGTTCGGCAACGTTGATGTTTCTTCTCCAAAAATATCACAAGCTTGAAGGACTTCTGCCACATTGTGGAGCTGCTAATACTAATCTTCTACTACTAGCCAAGACTAAGGGGCAAACTCTGCCTGCCAAAATTCAAGCCAATGCAGAAGAGACAAAAATTGCAGTTCCCCCCTCGTATGTTAGGGGCTGGCTCCAGAAAGGAGCTAATTCCAATTGACTCCCATATTAAGAATGCCAACTTCACAGCCAAAATAAACATGTTTACAGCCTTATAGAAAAAATGTTTTGGTTTATTAGGTCAATTTTACATTCATGACAACTCTGAGGGAGTGATATTTTTTTGTAACTAATACATATAGATGTAATTAAAGCTTGAAGTTATGAAGAGTTAGGGGCATGTCCTTTCAATTTACAGGTGTTAAATGAGCCATAACTGTTAGGCCCAATCCCAAAACTCACACTGCGCCCTGCAGTCTTATGCAAAGTGCACTTGGAGAAATTGCGCAGTAAGGCTTCGAGTGTGTGGTACACAAGCGTGCAAACAACTGCCAAACTGAGACAGAGAGCATTGCGTAGTCGAACGCAACGCATGCCGGTATGCTGGTCGCTGATACTTTTTCAAAAAACCTTAATAAAATTCAAACAAATGTTTTTTTAAAATAAATTTACATTCATTGCTGCTTTGTCTAAAAGTTTCAGAACATCAACTAATCGTCCTAAAACGAACTACTTTCATTAGAAAATATCTGTTTTCTGAAAAGCCACTTGAGCCTTTTCTCCTGCAGCAATGGATTGTGGGTAATACACTTCACCCAAGTCCGTATCAATGCGTACTTGGGTGAAGTGCGGATAAAGGGTGCTTCCACACTTGAGAATCGAGACACCCCACTTGCACCCCTGGTAGGGATTGTGCAATCGAAAGGCTCAAGTGTGGCAGTGCAAATATTGGGATTGGGCCTCAGTGCTAGCAACTTGCCCTCCTGCTTGCTCTAGGGAAGGCCTCAGCCTTAGCCTCACTTTAAAACAGCCTAGAAGTCAGAGGGTAGCAGAGGTACTCAACCGTGGTTTTCTGGCCAAATGCTCCCGTCAACCTCGGTTAGCTTTGGTTAGCTCAGTTAGCTCATAGCAACATCATATCGGAGTTTGTTGGGTGTGAATCATCTGCCCCTACCCTCACAGCCCCATTGTCAGCTCTATTTTTGTAATTTAGGGGAGTCAGTGATAAGACGTATAACACAGCTAAGATGGCGGTGGTGAAAACCGCCAATTGAGCTTCAATTCAGCTCTTCAGAAACAGGTAACGGCGTGGAGGGTTTGTCCATATTTTCCACAGTCATTGGCCAAGATGTGCTCTGCTCTCTCCTGGACGCTAAATCAACAACAGCTTTCCCCTGTTTGCGAGACAAGATGGGTGAGTTAATGAATGCAAATTTTCAGTTTGACATAGCTGTGGAGTAGAGTTTCCTTGTCTATTTTCTGTCATCAACTAATGAAGGAAATAGGGGTAGAAGACAATTATCATGTTCAGCTGGCGTGTGAAACTCAGAAAGACCATATTTTAAATGAAACAAGTAAAAAACGGGTTCTCAGTGAACTGAGTAAAATGCAAAATTTAGAAATGAATGTAAAATCAACGAAACCATTTGCATTTATAGAATGAGTAATTTGGTCTCTTCAGTAGTCTGTTGATGTAGGTTGATACTTTTAATAATTTAGTTTATTTTTACTATAATTACAAATTACTATTTTGGACCTATATTAAGGAGTACAATAAAAATTATAATTTATTTTAGTAGTTTTCAAATGCAAAAATATAAATGTTTCTATATGTGTTTCATTTGTTTTATTTCACTATATTTTAGTATTTAAAATTTGTTTTATTTTGTCGAGGCTACTTGTGTGCTTTTCAAACAATGCAACGTAACAATTATCCTCTGCTGCCGCCTACTGGCAAAAACTGTCATCTTTTGTTGCCATCTTTTCGATTATTTATCTCTTTTTTTATTTATATGAGTTTAGTTTGTTTTTATAACGTGAAGAAGTTTGTTCGTTTATTTACACAGCAAACATGTATTTGACTATTTTATTACGTCACCGGAAACAGGAAGCGGTTGAATGCAATTCGGTGTACATATCACGCGAAACACCTCTTTACTGCTCATTCGAGGTCATAGTAAGTGTGTCTTTTGGATTTTCTGCATATTTTCTTTGAACATTTCTCTTGACAGTTTATGTGAAACTCAGTAACGTACGGAGTAGCTTACTGTGAGGTGAATAAACATGTCCGTAAACTAGCAAACCCTTTAAAAGGATACACTTAACAGATGCCGCTGTTAATCGCTGGTGTTATCTCATTTATCTGATTTTCTGTAAAGTATAAACGTTTTTCCTCTAGACGTCTTTACCATAAAATGAGAGGATTTGGCGTTCGCTTTCTTCGCCTCTTCTCCCGAGCTTCAACAGCTGTTCCCCAAATCACCACAACACCGTTAACATGCTGCCTTCACCGAAGGGTCTGGGTGTGTTCCCTCCCTTTCGTCTATCGGAGGAGTGTGAGCAGCGCAGCAGTCAGCCAGCACATCCAGGACCTGAGCGGGCCTGAGCAGAGACTGCTGAATAAACTATATGGTGGACTGATCTCAGGACAGCGAGCGTCTCTGGCGGAGTCCATCACTCTGGTGGAGACACAGCACCCCAGGAAGAAGGAGCTGGCCCAGGTGCTCCTGCAGAGGGTTCTGGCATACCAGAGGGAGCAGGAGAACCAGAATGGAGGGAAACCAGTGGCCTTCAGAGTAGGTCTGTGTTTTGTGAAGCTGAATTTAAATAGTTTGTGTCAAACCAGAAGACTGTTAAGCTCTGTAGGGAAGGTTCACAGAAAGGATGAGTGAAATTCTGAGATTTTGTCATAATCGCAGCTTTTCTGTGATTACTTGACAATGTCTGGACGTCTCCATTTTGTTATAACTACAATATCTAAAAAAAAAAAAAAAAAACAACTTTCCCACAACTGAAATCTGACGGGAATATTTTTTTCCTCCAGGCTTGTCTGGTCCTCCTGGAGCTGGGAAGTCCTCTTTCATTGAAGTGGTCGGTAAGATGTTAACAGGTCGTGGACATAAAGTGGCGGTGCTGGCTGTCGACCCTTCCTCCTGCACCACAGGGGGTAACTGACACACCGCTCATCTCATGTACATTGCTGTGAAGAAGGCATTTGTCTTACAGATCTCTTTGCTGGAATGTTTTAGCTTGGCTTACAAATTTCAGTATCGGACAAAGACAACTGGAGTAAATGCAGTTTTCTTTAATGAAGGGAACAAAGCTATCCAGACCAGCCTGGCTCTATGTGGAATTGTAGCTGACCCCTATACTTAATAAGTGGTGGTAATACTCATGCAGTAATTGACAGTGCTGGAATTTTGATCTGTTCTTCTATGTAAAATGTTTTTAATTAATCTACACTTGGGGGGGTTCCCAGCTTGGCTGGACGATCTCCTCTAGGATTTTCTTTGAGCCAACTGATACAAAATAAGCCACAAAATAAAAAGATCCACACTGTTGGACAAAAAAAAATATTACTTAAAAGTCCAGAAGCAACAAAGCCAGGCCACTATCAATCCGTGATTTTGTAGGCTACTTCTAAAGCCTGATTCCTACTTCTGTTTCTGCTTCGGTGTGGAGACGCGCAGCTCCATTATGCATCAACGCAAGGGCTCTCCAACAGGCTCACAGAGGGCGATGAGGACATGCCCAAATTTTTAAACATTCGTCAAAAGTGACGGAGACCGCTGGTAGGGTTGTCACGGTAACCGGTGTAGCAGTAAACCCCGGTAAAAATTTAAAAAGTTGACAATAATAATAACCGTCTTGTTTTTAAAAAACTACATTATCTCGGTGGGTTTACCGTGGCTGCGGTGTAGGCGCGGTGACCCTTACCAGCCACCGTATCATCTGCTGAAGTTACCGGTGGCACATGCGCACTTTGTTGTTTACAGCCAAAACTTTCTTGAAGCTAAAGCTGAAATAATGGCCAAAGGAGGAGACGGCAGCGCTCAGGACATTTATTATCCCTCAAAGAAGACAAAGTGGGAAGTACGGGCATTTTTGGGATATTTGAAGAATGCCGAGGGACAGTTGATAGAAGACGGCTATCCTGTTCGCAGCACGTGCAGAAAAAGTGTCTGTGAAAGGCAGCAAAGCTTCAAATCTCATGATACATCTGCGTGACCATCACCCACAACTCTACAGTCAACGCAAGGCAAGCTAACGTTAGCGTTTTAGCTAAAATGCGTGATCCGAGGATTTGGGTTGAGGGAGAGCGCAACAAGTCGCTATATAAAGCAGCCGCAGCGCCGCTACCTGCATATAAACCGTGTCGCGGACACCCCCATGTTGAAATGACGCTATGCATTACGGGGCTCCCAGGGGCAGATAAGAGTTGGTCTCTCTCCGAGAATAATTATGAATTTATGACATTTTCCCAAATCTGCAAAGCTCACCGGAAGGACACAAACCGAGGACAATATTTTCCTGATGTAGGGTTTATTACTCAAGTACGAGTAACTGATTAGAAGGCTACTTGAGTACTGAGTATCATCTGATCTAATATTTTTAAAATGATGACATCAAACAGACAAAACATAAGAAGTTATGGGCAAATATTGGTATTTTAAAGACTTAAGGGGAAAAATGTAAACAAATAAACAAGAGAATTACAAAATAACAAATTTTAGGCAAAATTTAGACACAAACTGAGGACAATATTTTCCTGATATACAGGGTTTATTTAGCTGTCTGAAAATGTAACACGTTTAAAAAAATACTGCGATAATACCGAAAACCGTGATATTTTGGTCTCGATAACCGTGAGGTTAAATTTTCACACCGTGACAACCCTAACTGCAGGTCATGATAGGTCAGGGCGCCGCTTCCTGTAAATTCATCAACAGCACCGCCATTGCCCCGTTGAAAAGTATAAAGGTATTTAATTTACAGACACAGAACAGATTGAAGAACACCTCATGGAAAATGTCTGAAAATATGAACGTCTATCCACCCACGACAAAATACAAAGCAAATGTTTTATTTGTTGGTGGAAATGACAGGAAACGTGGGTTTGGAGGTGGAGGAGAATGAAGGACTCATTTGTTTGTGTTTAAAGTCTGAAATACATAAACACATATCATGGAGCGGATACATGAGTGTAATGGTGGCATGATACCACAGAAAAGCGCTACGAGCTCTGTTGTGACGGACAAGTCCGAGAGCATAAAATCTGTCAATGCGTGTGCGTCTCTCCCTTGGAAAGCTGACAGAGATGTAGAAATCAGGCTAAAGGTGTGTAGGCCTCTTAGCTCTTAGCTTCTTCTCTAAGAACTTAATGACATCAGAATTGACGATAGAAAAACCCATCTTGGTCTATCTCTAGTGCAAAGTTAGCTTCACGCAAAAGGCAATGGGACAAAAAAACTTTCCAAATAGTAAAATTTTCTCACGATGGCTTTTTTCCGGAAGTCTTGAGGGATAGTCGAGATGTTCTCAACCCCTGTGAGAGGACCTTTGTACCCCCTCTCTTTGCTATTGATGAATTCTTACCCTAGCCATAAACCAAGTGAATTGCTTTTTGAAACCTTTTTGCTAATGTCATGTTGTCAGATTTTATTGGCAGTAACCGGGTCTAATGTGAATTATTTATTTCATTTATGACTTAAGGAGCTTTTTAACACAAGACCATGTTGGTTCGGATAGCTTTACCTGGCCTAGTGGTAGAGTGTCCTCTCTGACTGAGAGATTGGCGTTCAAGTCCCAGTCCGGTTATACCAAAGACTTTAACAATGGGACCCAATGCCTCCCCGCTTGACGCTCCGCTTTAAGAGGGGGGATAAACCACCAAATAGTTCCCGAGCGCGGCCAGAGCTGCCGTGCACCACAGCTGCAGCTCACCGCTCCCCACGGGGACGGGTCAAATGCAGAGATGAATTTCACCAGTGTGTGATGAATTAATGGGACTTTAACTTTAAACCCTGAAAACTGCTTTTTTGTTGTTTTTATTCAGGTTATCTTTGATATTGAAATGTATTTATTGATTATAAAAGTGTGACAAAAAGCCCAAACTAAGGGGGCAAGTACTTTTTCACAGCAGTCACCACCTTACATTCAGTTTAAGGTTTATTTCAAACACAAGCCTCACTTCTTTATCACAGATTATAAACTCATTTCGGCCTCTTTCGGCAGGGTCGCTGCTGGGTGATAAGACTCGTATGACTGAGCTTTCAAGAGACATGAATGCTTTCATCAGGCCGTCGCCAACCTCAGGAACGCTCGGCGGTGTCACTCGAACAACCAACGAGGCCATCGTTCTGTGTGAGGGGGCTGGATATGACATCATTCTAGTGGAAACTGTTGGTAAGATTTAGCAAGGTCCAACCCCAGCCACAATATTATTCCAAACTTGTCATTTTATCTGTTCAACTGTGATAAAAAAAATCTTTACATTTCATTTTAGCTACTCATTTATGCAAGTTGAATAGAAAGTCGGACTCCAGTTCCAGCGCTCAAAGTTTTTTCATTGTGATGGTGCTCTGAAAAAGTGACAGTCACACTAAGTATTTGTTGAAAGTGTCAGCACACACTTCTGGATTTTCAGTGACGCTGACACGCTTTGACGAGTGCGTTAAATCTGTGTTTCAGGGTAAAATTTATTCACTGTGATGAATCTCAAGTTTGTCGAAGTTCATGATTATTCAGAGGAGTTTGAGTTTTCAAACAGTCCGAAACACTTGTCTTCTACCCGCTTATTAGATATTTGTGTGTTTTTGTAGAAGTTTCATGTGTAAAAGACGCAGTATTCAGATCCCCTGGGCCTTATAATGTGTGCTTAGATGAAGACTGGGGAGGAGGAGTTGATACACGATAATCAGATTTTTCAGAACGTTTCGTGATACTTGGGTGATCCAATATGATGAGTTTAAAGTATTTTCATCACTTTTCAGGTGTTGGTCAGTCTGAATTCGCTGTGGCAGACATGGTTGACATGTTTGTGCTTTTGATTCCACCAGCAGGTGGCGACGAACTCCAGGTCAGTGAAACGCAACAGCAGATAAATTAAAAGTTAATACATGTTTGCCGTCATGCAACTACAAAAGTAAATTAATTTCACCTACATACATTTGGTTACAAATATTTTAAAAAAGTAAATAAAAATACAAAACTTAGCCCTGATTTGAATATGATCATTTTTTGACAAATTTTAAGTAAACAAGAAAGCAAAAATGTAACTTTAAAACTGCTTTAGTCATAACCTAACGCCATGGTATTAATGTCAAATTACGCTCATGAGTCTTTTTTTAAGTTGTTATTTATAAAAATGAAAATGCTGGCAAAAAACGGTATGCTAATTAGTTAATTAGCTTAATTAATGACTTAATGAGCACAGCTCATTATGATTCATATTATTGTGATTACAGCGAGACACTGAGGTGAGCTGGCATCTGTTTTAATAACAACCGTTGTGTTTTTTACTTCAGAAGCAAAGCTGTGAGTTTATTTAGCACAGAGGAAATGTGAAACAATGTCATTAAATCTTGGTTTCACATCAGATTTTCTTTACATTTATTATTATGAATTCAAACAGACATAAATTTGACCTGCGATGGATGCATTTAAAGTTTTTATTTTTTCAGAAAATTTTCTATGTGTGACAGTGCTGCTTTCCTCTTTCTGTCTTTTGGCATCAAATCAAACTGCATCATTTACCCGATTATAGCTTTCACTTTATTCTGGTATAAATACGTCATCAGTTCTAATACTAATTATTTAACCAGGGATTCAAGACTCTGTTAGGTGGCTGTTTGTTCTGTTTGTTTATTGGTGAGGCCAACCAGACATTTTAGTTGATGCCTTTAAATAAGGTACTTATTCTACTAATCATTACACTCCTGCCACCGTGCTTTACCACTAGGAGAGTGTATTAATCAGGTTATTTTAGCCAAACTGATGTTTGTGTATTTTTAGACCCTCCTACTCTCTCAGCAGAGCTTTTGTCATGCTCTGATGTCTCTCGCTGAAACTGATTCCCTCTAAACTCACAATGGATCCAAATCCCTGCCTTTAAAGCAACTTTAGTTCAAGTGCAGTTGAACGATTCTTTCTCTGCATTCAGTTTTCTGTCGCTAATGAATCTTATTAAATGTTAATTTGGTCACTTTTGTTCCGTAATGGGTTTGACCTCTTTTGTGCAGCGGAAATTGCAACTGAAGAATTGTCATATTCAACACTTTAAAGACCAAGTTCACAAAGAAACCGTTTTTTTACTTACAACCAGTCACTTTTGAGTTTCACATGTAGTCTAAATGTGAAAATAGTCTTTTACCCCTACTTCCTGCGTTAGCCGGAGAAAACGGGGAAACTCTGATTAGAAAAGCCAGTCTGATCTACGTAACGCTGAAAATTAGCATTCATGGACTCACCCATTTTAGCTTGTGATGGGAAAGGCAGTTGATGATTTTGCTCCCAGGAGAGAGCCAAGCACGTTTCCGCTAGCAGAAGCTAACTGTTAGCATTAGCAACTCCACCGCATGGCAGAACTCCTCCAGGCTTAAGTTATTTGTGGAGATAAAACATCACCGTTGCAAAGCAGAATCAGTGGTACAGTCATCTTGCTGTTAGCCAATCAGAGGCAAGATGTTGAAGTATCAGGAAACAAGACTCGATATCCTTCTGTCCTCTACTCACCACTTCTCTGGCTCACTTCTAGTTCCTGAAACAGGAGCCCCCCCCCCGAGATCAACTCACAAGTCATTCATGTTTTCTAGAACCACTGCTAATGTGTTGAAAACAATGAGTGACCTTGGTCTTTTGAACTCACAGACTTGATTTCAATAATGATTAGATAACCAAACATCTTTCAGGAGCTTAAATGTGTAGATGTCAGATGTAGAATAAAGTAATAAGTGACTTTGCTAAAATATTTCTCTAGGGTATCAAGAGGGGCATCATTGAGCGTGCTGATTTGGTGGTAGTGACAAAGTCTGATGGAGATCTGGTGGTGCCGGCCAGGAGGATCCAGAGCGAATACACCAGCGCCCTCAAGCTGCTCAGGAGAAACTCCAAGTCCTGGAACCCTGAGGTGTGTGTATGTGTGTGTGCGTGTGTGTGCGTGCGTGCGCGTGTGTGTGTGTGAAGTCATGACTAAAACATGAAAGCAGACGGAATCAAAGATATTAAAATAAGTGTGTGTGCCTGTGTTGCACATTTAACATGAGAATCCAGGAGAGGAGGAGGGTTGATGATGAAGCTGTCAGTATCATGGTAGTTCTGACGTAGCGTCTCACCCCTCCTCCCCCTCACCCCGCTTGTCCCAAATCACCCTCTGCTTGGCCTTGTCCCTTTGATTTCTCATCCCAGAGGAGAAACTGCCTACTGGGCGAGCTGCCAGACCCCCCCCCCCCCCCTCTGACTACTCAGATGCTGTTTTAGCCTCTAAATGTCGCACAGAAGACTTTCTGCTTATGTGAGGTAGCAGCACTGATAGCAAAGTCTTATTATACAAATAATACATATAAATGAGTTATTTTCAGTTTCTTATCCTCATAGCCCTTAAAACCTCCAAGTAATGTTCTTTACAACAAATACAGTTTTACATTTACTATACAGATGTCTTTACTGAGATGTCTGCTATTTAACTGTCTGAAAGATCCCAGGAGCAGTGGGGTGTTTATTTTGTTTGTTTTTTTAAATATAAAGACTGTTTTATTAGTTATTCAACTCTGGTTTCATCAGAGCGTAATTGAATCCATGTGATTTATTCTCTCTTTGAGAGAGACTTTTCTTCATAAGTTCAGATTTATCCCTTCAGCTTCTGGCTAAAAGGAGCTCAGTTTGCAGAGAACAAACTAAACTGTGAAAACATTAAGTGTGAAAGTCTCCTAGAAGATTCTACCATGAATGGTTAAAAAGTTCATTTGACATTTGTCGTCATTTACCTAAAAAAGAAAAGAATCAGAACATAGGGATATTATTTCTTTGGTGTAGAAACTTCCTTTGGATGAACTGAAGCTTAAAATCCACACACAAAACTCGACCCTGTCCTCCCAAACCCCGTCCTCAGGTGGTGCGAGCCTCCTCACACAGCTCAGAGGGCATCCCAGAGGCCTGGGCCAAGATGGAGTCATTCAGGAACACTGTGTTGACCAGCGGGGAGCTTCAGGGCCGCCGGAGGGCCCAGCAGAAGGTGTGGATGTGGAGTTTGATCCAGGAGAATGTCCTGTGTCACTTCCAAAATCACCCGAGTGTCAGAGAGGCTCTGCCCCGCCTGGAGGAGCAGGTCACCAGAGGAGTGATCTCTCCAGGACTTGCTGCTGACCTGCTGCTTAAAGCTTTCTCAGCGTCGTCATAGCGATGGCTGCAGCTTCACTTTCGGGGGAGGACAGTTTCCTTGGTGTGTGGAGGACCGATCAAACAGCCGTGGGTCTAATCTTCTTATTTACACAAAAATAAAGTATTTAAATTTGAAATGACTGAGATAAAAGTCTCAGTAGAAACTTCTACTGAACAGTTTCAGACCACATGGAGAGAACTGCTGCTCATCCATGGAAGGAGGACACATTTGATTTGTGCTGTAAGAACCGAGAAGATGGCTTTCTCTGCAGATGGCACCCACCAAGTCAGGATTTTAAAGGTTTTATTATTACGACTGAAGAAATATTTTCACCGTTCTTCACTTTTAGAAACGATGACGCGTCGGCTTGTGTATCCTGTATGACAAACTGCTAAAGAGTGTTATAAAAGAATGTGTTTTACAGTTTTTGTCCCACTTTACTCACAGTCAACGCTGCAGAATATTTACCCTCTCCACAATAAGTCATGAATGGATTTCGCGTTCAGTGATGTGATTTAAAACGTTAGAAAAGCAACAAGCTTTTTTCAGGTGTTTATAATGTAACAGCTTTTCTCTGATTTATGCTAATGATAATAAAAAGAAGTGAGTGATTAAGTCTACCTGCGTTACTCCTGAGACCCTCAGTGATGTAATGACATGTATTCTCCTCTCTAGGGCCAGAAAGGCCACGATCGGAGTTCCACAGATACGTGTACTAATGTACATTTAACAAAAACACATCTGGAAATCAAAAATAGGTCGTCTCTTATTCTGTATACAGATAATTTGCTAGTTTTTCATGATTTTTCACAAAGTTTAAAAAAATGAAATAAATTTTAAATTGGAGTTAAATTGTTGCCATTTGGAAGGATGCATAAATCGGTAATGCTCATAAATACAAAATATTAGGTTGTGATGGCTAACAAACAGAGTTCTAGTTTGACTCTACAGTTTTCATTGCTGCTCCTTTGGAGACACATTTACATGCAAACAGTTTATTTAGCTTTACAATAAATCATCCTTGTCTGAAACGGGTTATTTTTTACATAAGGGGAATTTTATTTACATATAACATTTTGCATATAGGAACTACAAAGCGTTTCTGAATAAATCGAGGCTCAGTTCTAGGCCCTCTTTTATTTATCATCTATTTGCTCCCCCTTGGTTACAGTTTCCGCAAATACAACGTTGATTTTCACTGCTATGCTGATGACACCCAGCTGTACATTTCCTCCAATCCAAATGCATCCCTTCCACCAATCTCCCTCTCTAACTGTCTATCTGAAATTAGATCTTGGCTCTCTCAGAACCTACCAAAACTAAACGGCAATAAAACGGAACTCCTCCTCATTGACACCGCTTCTGTTTTAAAAAATTCTCCCAACTTCTCTATCAATATTGACGACTCCACAGTTCACCCATCCTTACAGGTAAAAAGTCTTGGTGTCATACTAGATGGTACACTTTCATTCCGATCTCACATTAACCGTGTTACTCGAGTCGCATATTACCATCTTCGCAATATCAACAGACTCCGTCCTTTTCTCACGCCTCATGCTGCTGCAATCCTCGTTCATAGTCTCATCACCTCTCGCATCGACTACTGTAACTCCCTTCTGTTTGGTCTCCCAACTAAGTCCCTTCATGAACTCCAACTTCTCCAGAACTCTGCAGCACACATCATTACTGGGACCCCCTCAAGAAATCACATCACTCCTGTTCTTAAAAACCTACAGTGGTTGCCAATAGAAACCAGGATATATACAAGATCCTACTACTTACATTTAAATCTGTACATAGCATGGCTCCACTTTATCTATGTAACTTACTAACTATTGCACCCATCCTCATCTGCACTTCATCTGGTTCAACCTCGAGCTCGCCTTACCACCATGGGGAGCAGCGCTTTCCGCTGCTCTGCTCCACAGCTCTGGAACTCACTTCCCTCTACCGTTAGAAATACGGACTCTTTTCCATTATTCAAGGCACACCTCAAAACCCACTTATTCAAACAAGTTTATTCCCTTTAGACCTAGACTTTAGAATTGTTTCAGATTTTTATGTATCTTGTTTGTTCTTATTGCCCTATCTAACCTCTGTTGTTTTTTGCTTTTATCTTTGTAAGGTGACCTTGGGTTTGAGAAAGGCGCCCTCAAATAAAATGTATTATTATTATTATTATTATTATTATTATTAAGAAAATGGGAAAAAAATCAAATAAAACTAACTAGAGTGTTTTAAGAGTGAGATTAAAACGCCAAGCTTTAAAAGCTTTCTAAAAACACACAAAATCAACATTTATGTCAAATAAAACAAACCTCCACGAGATGTTTATGTTTGTTTGTTCATTTAGCAGACGCTTTTATCCAAAGCGACTTACAATTTATAACCTACAGGGCGTGTTGTGATCTGTGGGGGAAACAGGAGCACCCGGAGGAAACCCACGCATGCATGGGAAGAACACGCAACTCCACGCAGAAAGGCCGCAGCCGAGTTTCGAACCTGCAACCTTCGTGCTGCGAGGCAACAGTGCTAACCACTGCGCCACCATGCAGATCTAGCCCTACAAGATAAAATAAACAAACAATTCTAGACATTACTTGTAAATATTTACTACAATTTAACCACGACTGTATCTGTCATCATTTTAAAGTGCAGTCCTGTTCTCCAAGGAAATCAGGAGTCTGATCGTGTAAATGAATCAGATTTGGATACAACTTTAGAAGTGCTGCACCCTTTTACAGTCAAAGCTGGTTTAAAGAGTTCGTCATTGCAGTCTTGTGTCTATCTGTTCACGCGGTGCTGCACAACGATGGTTCCTGCCACAACGTCACACAGGGCTCTGTTGTGTGGAGAGAGGTCGGTGAAGATGGGGAAGAATAAGGAAAATAAGTAGTTATTCGTTCAGACTCGCTCTATGGAGCTTTAAGACAAAGGAAACATTTAAAGCTTTAGTTCACTATGATGCAACACTTCTATCGCGTGCTTTCTGCTAAACGTAAGCCAGCATTAGCATGCAGTAGGACATAACTCATGTGGAAAAGGAGACGTTTGATGCAGGAACCACAAGAACCCGATGTGATTGCACTGTTGCACATCACCACTAACATTTTCCAGATATTAAGCCTAACTCAAATATGTTCTCTTGGACATGTTGCCAGGGACAGTGGGTACTTAGAGTAAAATGAGATTAAAAAAAAAACTTTTAAATTTACAAAAGAACAATATCTGTGATTTTCACAAACTAAAATGTTGGTCTGAGCTGAAGTGCCTGAATTTCCCAGAGCTCATTCCCATGTGGGGAAGCACAGCCGCTGTCGTAGACGTCCAACAAGAGCAACAATACGTGACGCCATCCACGAATGCGTTCTCCTCTATGGGAAACAACATTACGCCCCGCTGTCCCCGAACAGAATTTATTTAAATAGCATCTCAAGGAAGTAAAACTTGTGAGGTAATAGATTTTTATTTATTTTTTATTCTAGAGAGGGGAGTCGCAGATCTGAGCTGTGTACAAGCCATGTTAGCGTCCCATCATAGAGGGTGTGGTTTGGGATTGTCTTGCTAAAATAGTCAATGTTGCGTTGAGTGTGAGAGCATTTTCTAGAAGGAGGCTTATCATAAGAAATGCAACGTGAAAGAAGTTTGTTCCCATTCTTAATTTTTGATTTAGAACGGGCAATATCAAGCAGTTATTCCACCCTGAGCATCTTTGATCTGCTCCAACTGTAAAACTACAATACTCTTGAAACCTGGACTAGGTTATTCTACAGCAGACCTGCTGGACCAGTTCCAATGTGGTCCAGATGCAAGAAAAATGTAAAATAAATAAATAAACAATTAAATAAAAGCGGTCATCAACATGAGATGGCAACATCAGCAAAAAGGGACACGAGAAACTAGAGAAGTGCCAGGGCCTCAAAGAAGAACTTAAGAAAGCCTGGAGGGTGACGACTTTGCTGGTGCCCGTGGTCATCGGGGAACTCGGAGCAGTAACCCCCAAACTGGAAGAGTGGCTAAAGCAGATCTCAGGAAATGGATCAGACGTCTCAGCACAGAAAAGTGCAGTTCTAGGAACAGATACTGCAGATCCCTCGAGCTGCAGGGCCTCTGGTAGAGGACCCACGCTCGGAAGGATTAGACCACTGGCGGAGGGTGAGATAGGAATTTTTTTTTCATATATATTTATTTATTATTCAGCACTCTAAGTGGACTGGTACGCACTTCTTATTTGTACCTCTCTGTACCGGGACATTTTTCCTGGGTACGTTGAGTACCGGTAGTTTTTCCAGTCATTCGTTAATCGAAATCTTCGAGATTAATGAAAAACATCTCTTAAGTAAACACCAGCCATCCACAGTCCCCTCATCGCCTTTCTGGCTCACCAGCTCAGAAGTAACACAGCGTATGACCTCACTGATGACTTTGCATCCACAAAAAGGAGATGTGTGCATCTGTAAAAGGCTTCTTCCACTGCTGAAAGAGGCTGTTGGTTTTTTCTGTGTCTACTGAGTTGTGAACAAATAGCACTTTTCTATGGGAAGTACCGGCACTTATTTTTTTCCACTTGAAGCACTAATATTTACTTTCATAAATTAAAAAAGTTTTCAGAAATAGCAATCGTGTGTTTCATAGATTCTACTATTAGTGAAGACTCATCTGGTCCAGGTTTGAAGAGGCTGGGTGTTGTAGTTCTGGTGCTGGACCAGTTCTAATGAGCTCCACATCCAAAAACAAAGCACTGAAATTCATCATCTTTAAACTTTCACAAAGCTATATGGCAGAATATTCTAGCCTATGTTTGAAGAGTATGTGTTGCAGTTTTATAATTAGAGATGATTAAAGATGAAAATGGGGTGATAAACTGGTTGGAAGTGTTTTTTCCAAACCAGAAACCCAAAATGGGAACCAACTTCAGCATCAGAAGTGAATGTAATAAAAACACAAATTCAGATTATTTGGGTTTATAGTTTCTAGATTAGTTAAACAGCAACATACTCTGCTCACGTGACTTAAACAATAAAAACCTATGGGCATTTGGGAATTTTGCCAAAAGATGTCTTTTTATCTAAACTATGAGGGAAGTCTAACTTTTCTAAATCTGACGTCTCACCCACCTCACAGACGCCACGCTGCATCCTTTAGATCAGAGTCGCAACAAGTCGCTTCTGCAGGTCCTCTGTGTCTTTTATCCAAACAGTGAAAGCCCAGCACGCATCTCTTAAAAAGTAACCGTTCGTGTGAGTGAGGAACAGGAGCGATGTCGATATGAGTTCCCCCATCGAGATGCGTTTCTTTTCCACCCAGATGCGAGTTGGAACCATCCCCTCACAAAAAATAACCCTAGCCACCAAAAATGTATGTTTTGCATAATTATAATTTATGAAAAGAATCTGTGGAACACAGTTTCTATGTTTTGTATGGTTAGGGTAAGGGTTAGGACATGCGTTTTTTGCGAGTGGATGGTTCAGACTCGCGGCTGGGTAGAAAAGAAACCGATCTCAACGGGGGAACTCATATGGACATAACACCTGTTAATCAGTATAAGAAGAAACTTGCCAACTGGTAGATACCACAGTTTAGTTTTATTGGGAGATATGAAACACACGGGTCATATAACAGATAAAAACAGCACAAACTCAGTGGTTGTTATGAAATGTGTCCATTTACCCCTTCATCTACACTGCTTTTCCTTAATCCTCATTCTGTGCGTCTGGATCGCCTCAAATATTACAGTCACAGTTTACAGCCAGTCTGCAGTCAGCTCTAATCTGCACCATTTTTTATTAAGAGCCTTTTCACATGCTGAATTACATAGCCCAAATACCTTTTACAGCTATTGACTAATAGTCTAAAATCCCTTAAATTAGTTTTGTTTTACTGTAGTTCTCGTTTACCAGCTAAAATAAAACCACAAAGAAAACAATTCAGACTGCAGGATTTACAAAAAGAAAAGTGTGTAAGGAAACCGAATCTAAAGTGTGTGAACAGCTTGTCCAACAACAGATTATCGGAGCATGACTCAGGAGTGTAGCACAGATTTTATTATATTATTAGGATTTTATTTGGTTGATCTAATCCTGGACCTGCACTGATGGAACGAATGGATCGGATTCAATCTGGATGTTTGTGAGCTTCCAACCACTAGAGGTCTCTCAAACCCCACTCAGCATTGACTTTATTACCCTAATGGCAGGGCATACAGCACCAACCACCCGCCCTCTTCTTAACGCCCCCGCCTCCTGCCCTCCATTCATTCTTCATCGAGGTTGCACAGGGTGCCAGGTCACCCAGGGGTGAGGACATCAGCAGCTGCCACTCCTGGAGCCCAGGCTGTGCAGTAGTCCCAGCTCTGTTCCCAAACCCCTGCTCCGCCTTGGCAATACCCCCCCCCCAAAAAAACCCAGCACCAAAACTGTCCAGTACAGATGAAGAGGTGTGACTGTTCTGCTCATAACCTCAGCTCTCTTTCTGTGCGAGTGGTTTGGATTTGAACTGTAAAATATCAGGTGGATTGGATACTAATCTATGTACGTCCTTGGCCGCTCTGCTTTGGAAATATTAAGTCTCTAAGCCACCTCCCCAGTCAGTGGACGGGCTCCTAGGTCGCTGCTCGTTTGCTCCTGTCTGCATACGAGAGGAAGAATGTCCCCTGAATGCAGATGGATTCATTAGGTCTGAGTAACTCCCTTCTCCTCCATCATGCTGACACACACACACACACACACACACACACACACACACACACACACACACACACACACACACACACACACCAGTGTAAACAACACCATGCGGTTTCACTAAGGGAGATTAAATCAAATGCCGCTGCCTCGCGTTTGGCCATTTTAGCCTAAACACAGAGCCCAAGCACATGTGTTTAGCATTTCACTGGATCTCTTGAATGTAAGCACAGGACAGAGACTGGCTCTTTGATGAGGTTTTCTCTGTTTAACACACGGGCTTACGATTGACAGGATTTCTTTGTGTCAGCAGACTGAAGTCAGAAATGCTTCCCTGCTGCAGGACAAATCTAAATGGTGCCATCGTGCTGCTTTCATTTAAAAAACTCCGCTTTTTCCCAACAAAGCCTTAAAGTCTGTTGGAAAACAAGCTGCTACAAAAATGTCAAATCCTTGGAAACACATCTGTGTTTGTCTTCATGTTGGTTGTATTGGTGATTAGTTGCTTTA